CATAGCACCGGCTATTAGAATTTCACTTCTTCTTTTTTTTATAATCACACAACAATTATTATTTCACAAAAAAAAATTACATATATTTTCTTGGTTCTTTACATATTTTATGTATTTTCTCAAAATTTGGAGATTTTTGCTCCAATGTTTTAACTATAGCAGTATGATAATTTGTCAATTCTATAAAATTTAACCTATTAGTATCCCTATCCACTTTTAAAGTTGATGAATCAGAATCAAAACTTTCAATAGTTATGATTAAAATATCAATTTTTAATTTGTTAATTAATTATTTTTCAATTATATCGGTTGTTCAACTAGACGCAAATTTATTTATATTCATTTAAATTCTTTTAACGATTTAAATATTTAGTTTTTCAATAGCTGCCAAAAATTTTTTTTTATTAATAGTTAGTATTAACTTATTTAAATAGACTATTCTATAAATCTATAAATTGTTTTTATATTAATTTTTCATTTATTGTAATTTTTAAAAAGATAGTTTGGTATTATTTTTATAAGAAATCAAAAATTACATACATAATAAAATTATTTGTGTAGTTAGATAAAACTACGGAAGCCAAACACAAACATGTGTATTTCATATATTTTATTGATTGGTAAAATATTCACGAAGTATTATTAGATATTTGAGGAGTTATCAATCAAAATCATTTTTTTTTGTAATAACACTTTGGTTTTCAATTTGAAATCAGAGCAACATTCTTACGATGGCTCTAGCTATATCAGAAATTTTTTCCATTCTTTGATTCAAACTGGTTAACGGAGATTGTCCTTTGAGAAATCCATCTTCACATATAGAGGCTTCTGTTTTGCAGCCGGCGACCCCATCCTCGGCGAATTTAGGATTTCATGGGAGGGCATGATCGACTTCTGAGAGTTCGTATTGTACGACTATCTTATATGCAAAACTACATTTGTCCAAAGCCAGTTTCGTTTTTTAAGCCTTGTTTATCTGTTAAGTGGTGTTTATCGCAAGCGCCTACATAGAAGAGATGAAATATATTCATTTTTACCCCATAATTTTTACAAACCAATCCTATGTTTGAGATATTATGTAAGAGAATATGGTATAAGAGAAACCTTCATTTTGTCGATAAGGATGAGAGCAAGACCAGCAGTGTCAGCGGAGGAACTACGTAGATCAGAACGAAGGAAAAAGATACAAAAAGTGTAATCCGGTGTTTGTTTGCATGTTCCTTCTACAATATCTCCCAATGCAACTCC